ACCTAGTTGCTGGGTGCCTTGAGCATCTGTTTTCTTGTCTGTAAAGAGGGGGTAGTAATAATACCTGCCTTACAGGGTTGTTGTGAGGATTAAATGAGATTAAATGTACATAACACACTTAGCACAGTGCTTGGCACCTGGTAAGAACTCAGTAAATGAGACCTGTGATTACTCATCGGTCCCTGTAGAAGGGACATGATCAGGGAACGTGGCAGTTTGGGGCATCATTGAGAAATGTCCTGAGGAAACCTGGTGATCTCCCTATTGACCTCAGGCCCCAGCTTCCCAAGTCCTTTTTTTCCTCTTATTCTGTTTCTTTCTCTGATGCTCTGGGAGGAAGTGCCCGGCCTCCCCTCCTTCCCTCACAGACCTCCATGCTCTGGTTTTGCAGAGGTCCGCGGGGTGAAGATCGCCCGTGCCCTGGTGGGCACCTTCATGTCAGCCCTGGAGATGCCTGGCGTTTCTCTCACCCTTCTGCTGGTGGATGAGCCCCTCCTGAAGCTGATAGGTGAGACCTGGAAGCTGGGGTCATCCAAGCCATGGCTCCTCGTAGCTGGAAGGAGCCAGGGGGACTTGGAGAGACCCCATCATGGCTGACCATGACAATCAGGACCCTGTGGAGAAGCCCTTTCTGGCTTCTTCAGCCCTCAGTTGACTGTAGAGGGGTTGGTATTAGGATCCTCCCCAGGGACCCAACCCCCTTCCCTTGTACACAGTAGGCACTTAGTACTTGCTTGTTGAGGTGGAGGGAGTCAGGCTACCAGGTGGGGAGTCCAGGCCCCACTTGGTCCCTGACCAGCCGACCCATTTCTAAGAGTCATCCTGCTGTCCCTAGATGCTGAAACCACTGCTTCGGCCTGGCCTAACGTGGCCAAGGTCTCCGTGACTGGGCGGAAGCGGAGCCGGGCAGCCCCCACAGAGCCCCTGGAGGCCCCTGAGTCCACTGCTGCAGGAGGTACCCAGCCCTGCTGTTGGGGAAGGCGGCCCAGGGCTTTGGCCTGAACCCTGAAGGGTGCAGGGTGTGCAGTGGGGTGGGCAGGGGCCCTGGCACCCATACCTCCCACACCGGTCAAGTTCGGGTCAGCCTGGCCTCTTCCCCACCATCCTCCTACTCCAGGCTTAGCCTCAAAGCGGATGGCGCTTGTGCTGGAGCAGGTGTGCACCACCCTCCTGGGCCTGGAGGAACATCTGAACGCCCTGGACCGCGCTGCGGGTGACGGGGACTGCGGCACCACCCACAGCCGCGCTGCCAGAGGTTGGTGCCAGGACCCTCTGGGGTCAGGAGAGGGGCTGGTGTGGCACATGGATGCTGAGATTTTGGCCTTTCATGAACCAGAATTTCAAAGACATTTGGAGTGCTGACATGGGTTGCCAGCTTTTATTTTGCCAAACAAGGTCACCCACAAATCTAGCAGCCCTTTCACCTGGTCTCATAAAGAAAAGGCCCTTCTGGGCCGGCCCCGTGGCCTAGCGGTTAAGTGCGTGCGCTCCGCTGCTGGCGGCCCAGGTTCAGATCTCGGGCGTGCACCGACGCACCACTTCTCCGGCCATGCTGAGGCCGTGTCCCACATACAGCAACTAGAAGGATGTGCAGCTATGACATACAACTATCTACTGGGGCTTTGGGGGAAAAAAATAAATAAATAAAATTAAAAAAAAAAAAAAAGGAAAAGGCCCTTCTAACACTACGAGTGTAGGAAAGTTGTTTTCGCAGAATAAAACGTGATCTTTTCCAGTGAATGTTACTTTAGATTCTTTTGTCCTTATTTTTCTCATCTTACCTAGATTAGTGAAAAGCTCTTATTCAGCATCATTCAGCCAAGAAAAATTTATTTAGCACCTACCACAGGCCAGGCACTGCTTTTGACTGTGGATACAGTAGTGAGCAAAGCAGATAAAAATCACTGCCCTCGTGGCTTATGTTCTGGTGAGGAGACAAACCACAAACAAGGTAAATCAGAAAAGCATACAGGGTCGTAGTGCAAAGGGCTGAGGGGAAAAAATGGGGCAGGCAAGTGAGGTATGGAATGTCAGGGAAGCCAGGTATGGAATGTCAAGTGTGGGTGCCTGGGGCAGGCCTTGGTTGGGTCCAGGCAGGTGGGATGGAGGGTCTCTGAATTCCTCGCCATCTCTCTCTGCCTGCAGCAATCCAGGAGTGGCTGAAGGAGGGTCCACCCCCGGCCAGCCCTGCCCAGCTACTCTCCAAATTGTCCCTCCTGCTACTGGAGAAGATGGGAGGCTCATCTGGGGCGGTGAGTGCTGGCAGCCCCCTTGGGGCCAAAGGGCCGACACAGAGGGGTCCCGGGTTGGCTGAGGCCCAGGCCAGCCCACGTACTAAGCATTCTGGTCCTCCCCAGCTCTATGGCCTGTTCCTGACTGCAGCAGCCCAGCCGCTCAAGGCCAAGACTGACCTCCCAGCCTGGTCTGCTGCCATGGATGCTGGCCTGGAGGCCATGCAGAAGTGAGCCAGAGCCCTGTGCCTTAGACCAGGGGTGGGCTGGGGAAGGTGGCTGATGTCACCTGCTCCCAGCCGGGCCTTGTCCCCATCCCCAGAGTGATTCTCTACAGTGAGCCTCATCATTCTCTTTCCCTGCCAGGTATGGAAAGGCTGCCCCAGGGGACAGGACCATGGTGTGTATTCAACCCAGCCCTTCTCCCTTTTGAGCGCAGAAGCCCTGAATACTGCCCTCAGTGGTAGGGCCTGTGCTCAGCCCCCTCTCCCTCACCTTGTCCAGCTGGATTCTCTGTGGGCAGCAGGACAGGAGCTCCAAGCCTGGAAGAACCCAGGGGCTGATCTGTTCCAAATCCTGACCAAAGCAGTCAAGGTGAGTGAGGCTGGGCCCAGCCACCCAGGGAGACAGGCTTAGAGCCAGCCAGCTCCCATCTCCATGTGACCATGAGCAAGTTACTGTCCTTCCTGTACCTCGTTCCTTCCTCCAAAAATGGAGATGAGTGCCTGCCTCAGAGGGTTGTTGTGAGGCTGGAGAGATAGGTAACGCCCCAGCAGTGTCTGGGACATAGCAGGCCCTCAGTACATGGTGGCCCCTTGCCCTGCTAGATGCAGGTGGGAGGTGACCTCTCCACCCTGGTGACAGTACAGAGGGTTCTGTCAGAGCCGGGACAGGAGGGTCCAGGGTCCGTGGCAGGAAGGAGGCCTGGGGGCTCGTCCTTGAACCGGCTCCCACACCCCCACCCCCTCAGAGTGCAGAAGCTGCAGCCGAGGCCACCAAGAATATGGAAGCTGGAGCTGGAAGAGCCAGTTATATCAGCTCTGCGCGGCTGGATCAGCCAGACCCCGGGGCAGTGGCAGCCGCAGCCATTCTCCGTGCCATCCTGGAGGTCCTGCAGAGCCAGGGTGTGTGAATGTCTCCTGGGCCTCTGGCCTCTCTCACTGCTGTGCAGAGGTGGCCACTGTCACTCCCTTCTGCCTTCCAACGCTCCCCCTCCCTCGCCCCTCACCCCCAGGGCCTGTCCTCTGAGTTCAGCAGGAAATCCTCTACCAGCCTCCAGAACGCCTCCACTGGAGAAACTGCAGGCCCAGGGTGGGTCACGTGCCCTCCCCCTCTTCAGGAGGGTGGGGTCCTCGGATCACCCTGCTCTGCCCCCAGCTGGCTCTGGGCTTAGCCATAAGGTGCTTCCCGGGGCGGCAGCACAGCCTTTCACTGGCAATGCTTATTTGGTTTAAGACTCCCTGTGAAAGGCTTTCTGCCCCTGAACCTGAGCCAGTGTGGAAAAGCAAGCTAATAAACCACGTTGAAGCAACAAGCCGCTGCTTCCCCTGAGGGATCTTTTTCCACGCGTGTGAACAAGTGGGCCCACTAATGCCGCAGGGACTAAGACCTCAGCCCCTGGCCGAAATGATCATGACCCGTCTCCTACCACCTGACACCCAAAGGCAGGGTCTGCACAGCTGGGCGAGGTCCACTGACGTGCCCATTCCTGTCCTCCTTCCAATACACACACCACCCCTGATGGGTGAGCTTTTCTCAGCACTAAACTAACAGAATTCCCTGATTCTTCGGGAATCAGGTGGGCAAAAGGGACACCAGAGGGAAAAGAAATCTCCATATTCTAAGGCTCAGTGGTAGAACAAGCCAGCCCGCAGATCTCTCTAGAGGAATCACTAACAGCACCTGGGCGCGCAGGGGGGCCACTGAGTCTGGTAGAGCGCACACCTGGCCCACACTCGGTGCAGGGAGCGGTTACAGGCACTGGCATGGACTAACACAGACACGACTTTGAATCCTGGTTCTGCTTCAAGCCAGCTACAGAATCTCAGGCCTATTATTTAGCGTCTTGGGATCTGTAGTCAGAATGGCACCCATCTCGTGGGGATGTGGAAAAGGATTCAAATGAACTGATGAAGGCAGAGCTGCCAGCACAGTCCAGGTGCTCACTCATTGTGAGTTACTATCATCATTAATGTCTGCACTCAACTCCTTCCAGGTCATCTGCTCCACCACCAGGTGGCATCTATAGCTGGTCACACTGGGAAGAGGGCCCCCCCATCACTTACTTTGCCCAAACTTGGCTGCAGCCTCCCTCAATCCCTAGGCTTCTCTGCACAGGGTCCCCTGTCCATCAGCTGCACAGGGGCCCTGACCACAAGGTGCAGTTATCAGTGTGCACAGATGCACGCACCAGACAGCTGGGAGGGGGACTCTGGCATCAGACACCTGGCCTGTGGATCCCAACTCTGCCATTTCCTGGCTGAGTAACTTTGGGCAAGTCACTTATCCCTTTTAAGTCATATTTTCCAGATTATAAAATAGGAAACATTTCCTTCCTTGTGAGATAACCAAGTGCTCAAAAGCCATTCACTATTAAGGACACCAATACATACCAGGAGTTACATGCAAGTCCAGGAAGACTATCACGGGGCTCTTTGGTACCTCCTGGTTTGCCCCTCCCCAGGTCTACAAGGGTCAGAACTGCCCTGAGGCTTTTACAGGTTGCCCAAAGCTCATTTAACCACAGACATTTCAGCAGAGAAGGCTTTGATTCTTAAAAACATGTTTAATGAAAATCAGGCTTCATAAACAAGCAAAATGCCCACCCATATGGAAAGCGGGGGAGCTGGTCGTGTGACCAAGGTGCCTGGCAGTCATCCCAATGGCTTTGAAGACTTCATCCACTCCGGAAGCTCAATCATAGCCCTCCTGCCGACATCTGGCCACGTGGGTTGGGGTGGACAGTCGGCCTCATCGCCACCTACTAAGAGTAAGCGCGCTCGGGACCCCAGGTGCCATGCTACTTGTCATCCATGCACAGCAGCATGGAGCCTGGGACCTGGCAGCACTTGTCTGGAGAGAGCAGGAAAAGCCACAGTGCCAACATTTAGGAGAGGAGCAACATGCCTCCCTCCCCACCCCAGTTTCTCCTCTGGGGAAGAGCCAACAGCTCACACTCTGGCATAACACACAACACTGGGTTTGGCCAGGCAAGCCGCCACGGTGGGAGCAGGTGAGGCACTTTGATTCTGAGCAAGGAACACCTCTGAAGGTGGCCGTGGTACCCAGGGCTCTGCTGGGCACAACGCACCAGAACTAGGCATGTTTCGTGGTGAGCTGGAGAGTGAAAATGAGCTGGGTTAGGGCCCTGCCCAGAGAGCAAGGTTGAACCTTCCAGCAAGGAGACGTACAGAAGTCTGAGGCACCCCTGCTACGCATCCCGAATGGGCCAGCTGGGGACAGGTCTGTTCTTGGGAGAGCAGGTTACCAGGGTTCGCAGGGCTGCCTGACAGCGACAGGCTTGTAAGTCACAGGGAAAGGCCGGGATCCAGGCCTCAGCTGTAGCGGCAGCTAGAAGAGGTGGGGCCATAGGGTCACAATGCATGCAGACACAGAACGCAGTGACATGAGCAGAAGAGCAAAGAACTGTCAACTCCTCCGCTTCTCCTCTGCAGAAGCAGCTCTGCCACCACTCTCCCCGTCTCCCTTGAACACCTCACAGTGTTCCCACCCGGCCTCGTGTCCAGGTGGGCCGGATGGAGGTAACAGAGCAGACAAAGCCTGCCCCATGGCAGCCGGCCTAAAGGAAATGCACCCTCAGGGGGAAAGCTGACGGACGCATCACCTCACTTTTCACATTCCCAATTGCACTCGAGTCCCGGCTCCTCTGAGCTGTGGGGTTTCCTACCACATCCCTAGGGGTCTAAAGGGGAAATCAGCCTGACTTGCTGCATGAGCAGCCAGAGAAGGAGGGCTTTGTGTAAATGGAACACCTGAGAAGTTGATGCCAAGAAGGGGTGCGGAAGCCAAAGCCACCAAGAAAAGCAACGGGCAGCAAGCCGGCGGAGAGAGCAGGCCCGACACGGAGGCCAGGAGAGGTTTGGACCCGGAGCCCAAAGCAAGTCTGTTGCCGAAACCAGACGGGAGCCCCGGGACAGCAGAGCTTCTGAGGGGAGTCCAGACCACACACCGACTGCTTCCGGGAGCCCCTTTCCGCTTCACTCCCTGTCACGCAACAGGGGCTGGAAAGACAGGCAGATGCACAGCGGTTAATGGCATGACGTCAAACCACCCCTGACCTGCAGGAGTCACACCAGGCCTGAGCTGTTCAGACAGACCCCCAACCTGCAGGGTGGTCCCCACCCGAGCCACCAGGTGTTTCAGCCTGATGCACACCCCATCTCGGCACATCCCTCAGGTGCCTGAGGGGCCAAGAGCAGGCAAAACCTGTTCCAAGCCCTCAACTTGTTCCAAGCACCTGCTAGATAAGCTCCCACCCCACACACTAGGCACAGAGCTGGAAAAGCAGAAATTACGACATTGCTGCATCATGCTCCAGCCTTTCCTTGGGGAAGATAAGGCCACATTTCCCCTTGTGAAACCATGAGAATTTGGGGAGGGAGTAACCCCCGGTCCTCTCTCAGTAGACAGGCCCCCGGAGCCCCTGAGCCTGAGCAGCTACATATGCCACGATGGCCAGGATGTGCTGGTTTGACCCCAGTGCTCCCCATCAGCCAACCTAACCCCACTTTCAAGCTACTTGGGTTGATCTTCCTGGCAAGGCCCAAGCCTTTCCTGGGTGACCCTTCTCTAGACCCGGCCCTACCCCAAGCTGGAATAGGAGCCCAGGACCCCATACCTGTCTGTCAGTCAGCATCCCCGGCTCTGGGCGCTTCCAAGATGAAGCCAGAAGGATATAGAGCACCAGCAGCCCGAAGACCACCACGAGCACCCCAGTGCTGTTGGCAAAGATGGCCTCACTGGGCAGGTGGGAGTACTGGTTGGTGCCATTTTTCCTGAAGATGACAAAGCAATGTGGGCCCTTGAGAGACTTTTCCACCTGTTTTTGCCCAGTGGGAGACTCTATGCTATCACTAACGGAGGGTGAGAACAGCTTCCCAGGACCACCTGTGACTTGGAAGGTTAATACACTTTCCAAGTCCCTGCCGCTATAACAGACACCTGCGGAATGCTTTTTACCCATGAGGAAAGTGAAGCACAAAGAGGTGAAATGAACTGGCCCAGAGTTATGTAACTAGCAAATGGCACAGCCAAGCTCTAAACCCAGGTCTGACCTCAAAGCTTATTTGCTTTTCACTATACTCCCCTCCGCCTCCAAAGAATGGGGCACAGTAGGGGTTAGGCATGCAGGCCCTGATCCTAACTCAAATCCCAGCTCCGCCATTTACTGGCTGCGTGCCCTTAGGTAAACTATTTATCCTCTCTGTGCCTTGGTTCCCTCATTTGTAAGTGGCAAGGACAACAGTAGCGACGTTGTAGGGCCATTAGAAGACTAAATTTAAGGTACTTAGAAAAGTTTCTGATACGTGGTAGGTGCTAAATCAATTTGATGCTGGATAAATATTTGCTGACCAGTTTACTAATCTCAACCTAAAGAAAAACCAATTCCATTACCTTCCAGATCAGGAACGAGCCCAACCCCACAGGCTCCCCTTCCTTGGATGGGTCCTATGATTATAGGGTGCATCTTTTGAAGACCCTGTTCTTTCCCGTCCACCATAGAGTTGGGGGCCCCATCCCACTCACAAACTGAAGAAAAGCTTCTCGTTAATGCCGGAAATAACAGACGTAATGGCCAGAGAGAGGATGGAGGATCCAAAGAAGACGTGGATGGGTTTAAGGAGGCTGCGCAGCCACACGGGCGCCCAGGGCAGCAGGAAGACGGCAAAGCCCAGGAACCACTGCGGACACGAGGAGGAAGAACCTGACTGTACCGTGTGTGAACAGAGGCGCACTAGGCCACCGCCACCAGCACCTGCTGCCGTCAGTGAACCTCCGCCCTTCTTTCCCAACTCAAACCTCCCTCCAGGCATGGCCCCAGCACCACACCTGGCTTCCTCACTGTGGTCTGTCTGTTTCTCTTACACAAATTAAGAACATTACAGGAAATACTTGGCTACAGCCCCACTCTCCCACAAACCCAGCCGTCTTGTTTGTCTCTGCTCCTTCCTGGCTCATAAAACTCCTCACTTGTATAGAGCTGACATCAGAATACGGAAACCACTTCTAGAATTGCTTCTGGTTCACCGCAAGGTGGGAGGGGGGCAGGGGGAAAGGACGATGTAGAGTCAGCGTGGTACGTGCTAGGACAAAGTCAGCTCAGAGCACTCTGGGACGACAGATGGGCAGTGTGATGCATAAGAGTAGGAAACAGTGTGAGAGTGGGAACCACCAACCTCCCTTCAAGGGCCTTGAAACTGCCGATTCTACAGGACGCGCCCTGCAAGCCCGTCTCCAGGCAATGAGCGGAGGGAATGTTTGGTGCTGATGCAAGGGAAGCCCCAACCGGAGCCCACAGCTGCCGTCCAGCAGTGGGAACCCAGTGGAGGACAGAGAACCCACCTGGCAGGCGAAGAGGAAGACGGCGGTGATACCCAGCCAGCTGTGCAGCGAGTAGAGGTTGGCGATTTTGTTATGGTTGTGAAATTTAAAGACGGCAACCAGTCCCAGCACCGTCAGGATGAAGGCCATCAGGTGCAGGGCTGCATGGAGGAGTTTCCAGGGCAGCTTGGGTCCCACCCACGACTGGGGCAAACGGTATACCAGTGACGCTGCAGGAGAGAGCAGTGCCAGGGCTCAGCTTCTTCCCCTCGTGCTCACCCACACGTTAGGGAATTACCCAACATGATCCCACACAGCCTCCTAATGAGGCAGGAAGGAAATGCTAGGACAGCAGTGTGAACTCCTCAGCATCTTCTGTCCTAGCATTATTTTGGGGATAGCAGACAGCCATGAAGTGGGGAGAGAAAAGACAGTGAGAACAAGGGAGGAATAGGATTCCCGGACCTGCCATGCCGTCATTACAATAATAAATGCAGGGCCAGCCCTGCAGCTTAGCGGTTGGGTGCACGCGCTCCACTGCTGGTGGCCCGGGTTCGGATCCCAGGCGCACACCGACGCACCGCTTGTCCGGCCATGCTGAGGCCGCGTCCCACATACAGCAACTAGAAGGATGTGCAGCTATGACATACAACTATCTATTGGGGCTTTGGGGGAAAAAATAAATAACTAAAATTAAAAAAAAAAAAAAACAATAATAAATGCACCCTGTCTGCAGTTTTGCAGGTTAAAAAGCAATGCCGCATTCATTATTTCATCTCACTGAGTTCTCACAACTGAGGTGAGTTGTCAGGAACACAGACTTTAAGGTTAGATAATCTAGGTCCAAATCCTGGCTCTGCCTCCTAGGTATTTGGCATCTTCTTTCTAGATCTCAGTTTCTTGATCTGTAAAATGGGGATAACAATAGAGCCCACCTCACCAGCTTCTTGTAAGAACAAAACGGGATGACATAGCTGAAGTACATGGGGTAAGCTGCTATTATCAATGTCATCTTCATTCCCATTTTACAGATGGGGAAAATGAGGCTCACCTGGGCCCCAAGGCCCAGCTCCGAATGCATGGGGCAAAAATGGGTCTGGCAAGAGTAAGTAGATCCCTCATTTAAGGACCCGACTATTCCATGAAAGGCTTCATCCTCCTGCTCCCTAGAGCAGCGGGTGGCAAACTACAGCTCACAGGCCAAATCCAGCCCACCACCTATCTTTATAAACAAAGTTTTATTGGAAAACAGCCACATGTGTTTTCATGTTGTCTGTGGCTACTCGAAGGGCAACACAGATCACATGGCTTGCAAAGCCTGAAGTATTTACTATCTGGCCCTTTACAGAAAAAGTTTGCCGACCCCTGCCCTAGGGTATCTGTGAAGGTGCCCTTTCGGGTGCCCCCATTCTCACTACTTCTTCCTCCAAATGACACCTGGGCCCAGAGACAGCCCAACCCACCCCACCCCCTCAGCCCCGAACCCAACAGTGACAAAGGCCAGCCTTGGAGAGGGAGAGCTCTGCCCCATCCAGGCCTGGGCCACAGCACATCTTCCATGCTGGCCTCGTACTCACCAGCACTGTAGAACACCACCATGCCAGTAACCATGAGCACCGGGTGCCAGTTGAACATGTACGTACTGCCATCCCAGGCAAAGCCACCGCGCCAGTACTGCATCCAGTAAATGGTGAAGAGGATGCACATGGAGCCCAGGGACCCCAGCACCAGGCAGGACAGGTAAAACCATCCGACAGCCATTCTGCTCAAGCGCTCCTAGAAGAAGCGGAAGTCACACATCCCTGCCAGCTGGGGTGTGCCCTGCATACCGGCTAAAGGGGGTAACACTGACCTTGCTCTTGGCCCGAGGGATGGATGCTTTCTGTTTCAGTTGCCCTGCTATCAGCCTGGGCACCGCCCCATGAGGCCTCAGTGGCTGGGTGGGCCTGATCTCTGATTATGGACAGAGAGTGAGGCCCCACCCAACACCTGGCAGCACACAGTCCAGCCAGCTTGGGCCCAGGGCTGGCCCTAAAGAGGGGCCTCCTATGCTGCGGCTGGATGCCAAGGCTCAGGGCCCTGGAATTAGTCCCCCCTCACAGGACCAGAGGTTAAAGAGTTACCCTCCCAGAAAAGAAGGGACAGGAATCCAAATCCAGGCTAGGTCACACAAATGCCAGGCCCTCAGTTCTAACATAATGAGGCAAAATCACAATCTCCAAGAAGCAAACACACTCCTCTTAGGCCAGCTGGGAGGAAGTCCTAAGGGCTCTCACTTCTACAGGAAAGTTCTTCCCCAGATGGTGAACTGTGAGGGGCTAATCCTCCCATTGGGAAGGTAAGACCAGGCCTTCGCTCCAGAGTCCCCACACTCCACACCTTGAATTGGGCGATAGTTCTCAGCTGTCCCCAGGCCTGAGACTTCTGCTTTCTCTTCCTCTGGGGAAAGTCCAGAGGAGAAAAGAGGAAGCAAGAACTCATGGTCTAGAAAGCATGAGTTTATTTTGAGATTTCCACGTGTACTTGATAAACTCAGAAGCCAACTCTGGTTTCACGCATGGCGAATGCCTAGGCCCCTGAGCAGCTGCTCTTAAAAGCCAGGCAAGGGTTGGCCCCGTGGCTTAGCGGTTAAGTGCATGCGCTCCGCTACTGACGGTCCGGGTTCGGACCCCGGGCGCGCACCAACGCACCGCTTGTCTGGCCATGCTGAGGCCGCGTCCCCCATTCAGCAACTAGAAGGATGTGCAACTATGACATACAACTGTCTAATGGGGCTTTGGGGAAATAAAAAAAGGAGGATTGGCAATAGATGTTAGCTCAGAGCCGGTCTTCCTCAGCAAAAAGAGGCGGATTAGCACAGATGTTAGCTCAGGGCTGATCTTCCTCACAAAAAAAATAAATTAAAAAAAAAAAAGCCAGGCAAGAGGGTGTGAGGGGTGGCAGGCGTGTGAACTAAGCCACAGGACTGCCCTGCTTTCAGCTAAGGTGTAGGCAGCATGGGCCCAGCTCTCAAGGCAGTCACACTGTCCCATGGACTCACACCAAGAAGGTGACACTGTGGCTTCCTGCAGTTGAGGTCCCTCAATCTGAACCAGCTAACAGAGAGAAGAGGAGGCCCCTAAAATAGCCAAGAACTCCCAAGAAGAGAAAAGACTTGATTCTTCACCTTTAGACCTAGTGGCAGGCTGATACAGTGGTGTCCTGGGCTCCAATTCTTATGAACTGAGGCACTTAACTCGTGTAGGTCTCAGACTCCTCATCTGAAAGAAAGGCATGGTAATAAGATAATTTACTGAAAGGCAGCTAAGAGCAGACACTAGAACCTTACACACATGATCCCATTTACACACAGGATCCTCTTTTTTTTTTTTTTTAAAGATTTTATTTATTCAGTTTTTTCCCCCCAAAGCCCCAGTAGATAGTTGTATGTCATAGGTTCACATCCTTCTAGTTGCTGTACGTGGGACTCGGCCTCGCGTTGGACAGAGAAGTGGTGCCTCGGGGCGCTCCCGGGATCCGAACCCGGGCCGCCAGCATCAGAGTGCGCGCACTTAACCGCCAAGCCACGGAGCCGGCCCTTCACACAGGATCCTCTTGACAACTCTGTGAGGAGTTATCATTCCCACTTCATAGATGAGGAAACTGAGGCTCAGAAAGATTAAGTCCCTAGCATTAGGACCCAGCAAATGGGCAGGAAGTTTCAAACCCTTGTCTGTTTGGCCTCAAGGCCCATGTTTTTTCCTTGACCAGAGGTTGTCAGAAGGTCAAATGAGAAAATGCAGACAAGGACATTGTGAGAGTAAAGTATTATACTTTTCTTAGTATCGTCCCAGCATTTCATCCTAACTACTAACAAAAACCTGAAGCTCACAGCCCCCGTGCCTGCCCAGGCCTCTCAGTGGCCCTCATTCCATGCCATGCCAGCTCTCTCCATGCCAGGCGTCCGTTAACCAGAAACAGATGCTCAGGTCTTACAAGGTGATCCAAGTTGGCACTAATCTCTGAGAAAGGAAGATCTGAGGGCTGGGGGGGAAGACAAGCTTCCATGAGGCTGCAAGGAGAAAATCATGCCACCAGCTTCCTAGAAGCTTCGTGACTCAACTGCTCAGCTCAGAGATTTGCTACCGGGCCTCAGAGCAGTCCCCTTAGTTCCTGCAAGAGCAGAGGAAGTTTCAGGCCACCAGACGTTCAGTCACCCCCCAGCGAGCTGTTAAGTCAGCATGAAGGAGCGCTTGGTCAGTAGGCTCCATCCATCAGATAACATCTACTTTCACAACTTTTTTTTCCCTTCGTAAGAGGAAAAAAGAAAAGTAAATATAATCCCAAAGGTACTGTATCTACCCCCCTAGAAGAGGTCCTGATTACTGCTCTGGGACAGACTTGGAATACACAATGGGGACCTTTCCTGACACAGGGCTAAATTGTTATACTGCTCAGTACACAGATGAGCCCTTCCTGAAAGAGAGCACAAAAGCAGAGAAAAAGGAAGAACGACATGAAAACCGCAACCCAAACACTGAGAATATTCTCTCACTTATTCTGAGAGCAGGCTGCGCTATGATTTCAGGTTGTGCTCACCACTGTTTGATCTCCTATTCTGCCCTGACTGTGCAGAGCCCCATTCTAAAGCAGAAGTCCGCAAACTCTTTTGTAAAGGGCCAGAATGGTAATTATTTTAGGCTTTGCAAGCCATATGGACTCTGTCACAACTATGTCATCAACTCTGCTGATGTAGCACATGAGCAGTCAGAGACAATACCTTCACAAATGAACATGGCTGTGTTCTCAAAAAACTTTATTTATGGACACTGAAATTTCAGTTTCATATCACTTTCACATGTCACAAAAATACTATCCTTTTCATTTTTCTCAATCATTTAAAAATGTAAAAACCATGCAGGTGGGCCAGATTGTCCCGTAGATCACAGTGTGTCGACACTGATCTAAGGAGTCTACAGTCCAGCCTAAAACTCCCCTCAGTCCCTTGGCAGAAAGGATTCTCCCAGGCTGCACTAAAATTGATCAGGCCCAGGGTAGGAAATGGGTATTTCCTGTTCAGCCCTTAGTCTCATGAAAAGGCTCTATTCCAAACTCTTACAGTGTTACCTTTATAATTCAGAACTACAGATAGATGAAGGAATAGAAAGTCAACTTGTTGCTCCCACTTCCCAAATGAATGATAGGGGCTTTAGGAATCCTGAGAACCAGACTTAGGGTTAAAGTTCTAAACTCTTATCTTACAGATCAAAAACACTAAATCCCAAAGAGACTTGGCCAAGGCGAGTGAGTGGCAGTGCTGATATAGGAATCCAGGTTCACTCCTCAGCTCCAAGGACTCCTCAGGTAGCTTCTGGAAAGTCAGGACTCAGGAGTGAGGGGCCCTACTCAGTCGGGAAGTAGATAAGGCCCTCCTTAGCACCGGAGTGATTACAGACCCGCCCTTGGGATTGTGCTCTGGTCTGGCTCAGGTGTCCGGAAAACCGTTCCAGGAACCCAGGGACCGATCCCTGACTCCCCTGCTGGGAACCCAGGGACCGATCCCTGACTCCTCTGCTGGGACCCCTTGGTCCCAGCTAATCTTGGGTGAAAATTCAGGCGAGGGGCTCCGCCTGCTGACTGCGACTTCCGAAGAGCTTTCGTGCCTTTACAACCACCACCTGGGGAAGCAAGGGCACGGAGAACGGTGTCCGTTTCCGAAAAGAGAAAACTGAGGCCGAGCGAGGGTTCGAGACAGCGCGAAGCGAGGTAGTAGCGGAGCGAGCACTCGAACCCAGGTCCCTGAGCTCCCAGCCCGGGCTGTTTCTCACCCCCAAAACACAGCGGCACGCAGCCGGGCTGGGGACTCCGAGACCGGCCTCTCGCTACCCGGCGCCAACACCGCAGCTCCCGAGGCTCCTGGGAGATGGAGTCAGGGTCTCTCTGGGACGCCTGCACCCACCTGGCACCGCTGCCCCAGAGCCAAGCAGCGGGCACTGCCTCGCCCTCTTATAGGCTCCCAGCACTTCCGGTGGCGCGCGCTGCCGCCTGGGAAATGAAGTCCAGAGCCGCTGTGACGCAGGGTCGCCGGCTCCCAGCCCGCCGAGGTGCTGATCCGAACTCCAACTCCTCCGTGGGCATTTCTTCTCCAAGTCTGGGGTTCCAAGGAGCAGGAATGCTGCCACGGGTGTGCCCTGTCCCTCACCCCCCATCCCGTGGAAGCGGAAATGTTCGGGCCGACGCGAAGCCTGTCGCCTGGAGTTGGCCTTCGGCGCAGCGAGGGCACGAGGCCTCGGTCGGCGGCTGGGAGGGCCAGGAGCAGGGCGCGGCGAGGCTGGGAGGGCCAGCAGAGGGGCGGGCCCAGGAAAGAAGGCCCCAAACATGGCGGCCGGGCCGACCATAGTGCGGGAGAGAAAGCCGAGGACGAGCAGGTAGCCGTGCGCAGGCGGAGCCCGCGTCCGCCATCTACTTCCGGAACTTAAAACTCGTTTCCGGAAGCCGGGACGGTGTCCCCATGACAACCGACGTTGGGGCTTGGAGGGGCGAGTGTTGGATGTGGAGTGGGTAAAGTGATGCGGTGTAGGTAAAGTGGCCAGAAGACGGGATTTTTGTTGTGATTGTTTGGGTTTGGGTTTTTTGCCAAGGCAGCCCCATTTTCAAGTGGATTGGGAAGGGTGAGGAGAACTGCTCTGGGGACAAAGGGAACGCGGCAGGTAGCGGTGGACGGACTGTGAAGACCGTCCTTACCTTGCGAATCACCGCTGCCCTAAACCGGAGCAGATGGTCATCCTTCCCGTGGAGAGGGCGGCGGGTGGTTCTAGATAACGGATCCCCACAACAGCGCTGTGGTGGCCTGAGAAGTAGCGGGTAAGAGCACGAGCTCTGGTGTCACACCTGGTTGTGAATCCTGGCTCTGCTCACCTGCTACCTGGAGGAATGACTTGAACTCTGAGCTTGTGTCCTTGCCTGTAGGATGGGCATCATTCTTTCCCACCTTGCGGAGTAGTTGCGAGGATTAAAGGAAATTGTCTTGGTTGACATGTTTATCATGGTGCTGATATATAGGAGATAGCTAATTGATATTTGTTAAATTTAATTAATATTCATTAAGTTAATGTTATTTCATGAATGAGGAAACTCAGGCTCAGAGAAACTACGTTCATACATTCAGTAAGGTGGAACTTCTCCACCAGTTGAGGTGGGCAAGGTTCCTTAACTTCTCAGAGCCTCTGTAAAATGGGGATTATATGCATAGTAACGGCTACTTCTCGAGATGGGTGTAGGATTAAATAAGATAATAAATATGAAAAAAGTTTGTAAAACAATTTACGGATGTTAATTTAATTTAACCTCACTCTAACAATTCAAAGCATTTTGAAATTTGCTTATAGATTTGATCCAGCTGGAAGGTCACAGGACACCCCCAGAGCAACTTCTGGGTCTTGGAATTTATGAAATTAAAGGCACAGCTCCCCTTACTTCGTGCCACCGTGTTGCTATGGTAACCTTAAACATAAAGTTTTGCAGAAAAGGGCTATTTCCTCTTCGCTTTCTCTGCCTACACCACTTCTCACTTCTGGGCCAACATTTTTCCTGCCTAGTTATGCATCAGACTACCAGTTATGTTAGAGGCAGCTTTGCACAGTAGTTAAGAGGACAGACTATGGACCCAGGCTGCCTGGATCTGAATCCCAGCTCTGCCACTTACTGGCAGTGTGACCTTGGACAAATTATTTTACCTCTCTGGGTCTCAGTGGTCCCATCTGTAAAATGGGAAGCGTAATAGTGTATCTTCTATCTTGTTATTGTGAGATTTAAATAATGTTAGTGCTTAGAATAGTCTCTGGCACATTGTAAGTGGTATAGAAGGGTTTACTGCTACAATTAGTATTAGTATTATATTGGAATTAGAATTAGTATTATTACATGACCAGACAATCACTCTTTTTAGTTCCCCCAGATTCCTTTGGACTCAAAAGTGGTTAGAAAGTGCTCTGCGTTTAGAATGTTCCAGGCATGGAGAAAGGTTTGAGGGTGACGGTCTCTGGAAGGAGTGACTACTTGGTTTGTTGTTGTTGTTGTTGGTTTTGTTCACTGATGTATCCCAAGCACCTAGAATGGTGCCTGGCACATAGTAGGTCCTCAGTAAATATTTATTGTATTAATGAATTTCTAACCTCACCTCTCTTTTTGCCTCCACAGGCCCTTGTCTTAGAGCAAGGGAAACAGCTCTGATTCTGAGGAACTAGACGCTTCTCCTTCAGTGCTGGGGAGAGAGCCAGGAGCTGTTTTCTGGGGAACTGTGGAATGTGCCCTTGGGGGCCCAAGAGAGCAGAAGGAAGATGCTCCAGACCAGTAACTATAGCCTGGTGCTCTCCCTGCAGTTCCTGCTGCTGTCCTATGACCTCTTTGTCAATTCCTTCTCAGAGCTCCTCCGAATGGCTCCTGTCATCCAGCTGGTACTCTTCATGTGAGTTCAGTGGGTGGGACTAGACAGCTGAACCCAAGCACTTTCAAGGCCCTGACAATCATGATTTAGCATTTTAAAGTTATTAATAGAGAAACATCAGGGACAATAAACTTTTATGTTGTCCTCGGTACTCCATGGTACATATACATGTCACAGGTCCTGTTTTTATATACTGCCAACAAGGATTTGGGCTACAGAGAGCAGTTCACGTAGAAAATGAGGGTCAGACTGCTCACCCTGTCATTTTCTCCATTTGCGAGTAGAAATATTGTCTTACATTGCCATGAAAGAGGATTACAAAAGGGCAGGTTGAAAGGGCAATCACATTAATAATATATATGAATCTCATAAGATGGAAGCTGTTGGCATTTTTCCTCCACAATGATTTAGAGACTCCATGAGGCAAGTTCTAAACTGAGAACCACAGTCTTAAACATTATTTTCCTTCATTCAACAAGTATTCATTGGCCTGCCAGACAGTGTTCTAGTTGCATTTCTAGGACTAGTTGTAGTCTAGGCCTAACAATTTCCTGCTCTCATGGGGTTTTCGTTCTAGCAGAGAGGCACAATGAATACATTAAAAAATATATATATATAATTTCATACAGTGGATATAAAGTAGCTGGGGTACATTAGGTAGCAGGGTTAAAGAAAAATTTTTCTGAAGAGGGGACATTTGAACTGAGACGTGAATGGCACAAAGGCCCCAGCCATGCAAAGATCAGGGAAAGTGCATTACTGTCTTGCTAGATGAAAACGTCTGATAGGACCAGGTTATGTGACAAACAGGTCTGGCATTTTCTGACATAGGGAGGAAACTGGCTTCTCCTCACAGGTGCCTAGGAGGTTTGTTAAGAGTGTCAGAGCAAGAAAGCCTTGTCTCTGGACTACAACTGAACTGGTGGGGCCAGCAGGTAGTTTTAGCTTCATGTCCTTTGGGTCTCAAAGCCCATGCTACCTCTGGGGGTGGTTTGGGGGACTATATCACAGGGAAGGACAGACCTCATGGTGTCCCTTTGACTTAGGGCCAGCTCTTGGATCCTCACACAGGCCTCAATTTGGCTGTACTTTGTTTTATATGTCTGCAGCATCCAGGATATTGCAGTCCTCTTCAACATCATCATCATTTTCCTCATGTTCTTCAACACCTTCGTCTTCCAGGCTGGCCTGGTCAACCTCCTATTCCGTAAGTTCAAAGGGACCATCATCCTGACAGCTGTGTACTTCGCCCTCAGCATCTCCCTTCATGTCTGGGTCATGGTAAGAATGGAACTCTGAATTTCTGAATCCTTAAAGGGCTAGGAATGTCTTTTCTCTGGGAATCCAGCCTCATTCTTTTACATCTCACAGAATCCTGGATAGGAAACAGGTGAAATGAATGTAGTCTGGCCTGGAGCTGGGCACACGAGAGTTTCATAAGGCACTTTTGCGCAACCTTTTGTGTTGAAGAACAGCCTTATCCAAGAGTTGAGGGATACTTCTGGAACATTCAGTTCACCTTTGCCCCAAACAGGCCTGCCAGGGCTATAACAGAAAGTTGAATCTATTTCATCATTAGCTGTTGGGCAGTTGGGTGTTGAAATCGGGTATTCTTAGGCATCAGGGTCCCATGGGAAAGAGCCAAGCAAGAGTGCTGTTTGCCCTTTAGTGCTTCATGCCCTCTGCTGTGTCCCCGTCACTCACACTAGAAGAACCAACTTCTATGATGCCTCCCTTTGGTTCTAACATAGGCCTCAGAGCAGATCCAGTTTTCACGGTTTCAGATTTCTTCTGCTTCACAAATTCTTCTGTCTCTTTGGATATCCCATGTGTTTTTCATCTACTCATTTTGATGGAACACATTAGAACCTGAGGGTTCTCCAGTCACTTTTTTAGGAAAGCCACCTTCTCAGACTGAACTTTCTGTTAGGTTGACCATGTGATTCCACGGGGAGGAGTAGAGCTCACAGGAAAGAGGCAGAGCAGTGCTGAAGTCTCTAGGTGTTTCCTGAAGAGGATTGTCTTTGCTCTGGTCCCTGGAGCCAAAATAGGTCCTGGCTTTGTACTATAAAGCTGTTAATCTGATTAAACCCTGAGTGCACCAGCCTTTATCTGACAGGAGCGGAGCCTGAGATTTTCAAGGCGAGACAGTGACCATGCTGAACCCCTAAGCTAATGTATATCATTTCTCCTTGGCAAAGGCTGTGAAATGAAAGAGTGTAAATAGCTTAGTTCAAACTTCCTCCCTCAGGGTTAAAAGGAGATTTCCTTTGCAGCAAGAAAAGGAAGCTTGAGGCTCCTTTGAGAAACACTCCGTGGGGTTGTGGAAAGAAAGAAAGAGGGTGAGGTTAGTCAGTTTTAAACCCAGTGGTATCCCTGCAGCTACCCAAGTTGGGGATGTTAGGGCCTCATCTGCCATTAACCTTTCCCTGTCTACTCATGTCCCCTTCAGAACTTACGCTGGAAAAACTCCAAACGCTTTGTCTGGACAGATGGACTTCAAACACTGTTTGTATTCCAGAGACTAGGTAAGGAACAGAACAACCTCAGGCCTCACTTTGGTCCCACCTATGGCTCTGGCAGTGAGGGCCTTGCTCCTGGCTTCCCCGCCCATCACAGCTGGTATGGGATTGTTGGGACAGCCTCACCAAGTACAGGAGAGATTACTGCCCTCTGCCTTTTCTGGGAGTCACTGGGAAATCATGAGGCAGGGCCCCTCTCAGCCTTGTTAGGTTCCGTTCTTACGCCGAAACGAACACTCAGGAGCCTTCCTGAGGCTTCTTTTCTGCTTACTCTCTGCAGCGGCAGTATTATACTGTTACTTCTACAAACGGACAGCTGTGAGACTGGGCGATCCTCGCTTCTACCAGGACTCTTTATGGCTGCGCAAGGAGTTCATGCAAGTCCGAAGGTGACTTCTTATCACACTGGTGGATGCCTTTCCTTCCTGACAAAAGCCACATTTGCGGCTCTGAAGGGCAAGTGGTTGGCCCTCTGCCCCAGGAAGCAACGTGACTCTCCTGGGACAGGCTCAGGCCAGTTGTATTCAGCAGTCAAGAAGGAAGATCCTTCCTCTTGCAAATGACAGTGTTCCCCGATACAGACTCCAGTACATAATCCCTTTCCAGCCTCCCACCTCAGTTCTGACCCCTTTCCTGCTCACCCCTATTCCTCACAGAGGGCTCTGTTGCTCTTATCCTTGGGAAGCCTTTTGCTTAGTCTGGCACAGCTGGAGCTCCCAGCACCCACTTCCCTTGTAGCACACACTAATGACTGAAGAATGCAAAGAGTGCTCTTTCTGTGCTCCTGACTGGTCACACCTTAGACATTTAGATTTTATACCCAAGGCACTTTTTTTACATTTTATAAATAGGAAATAAATTGCATTCTTTTTCCATAAATGGTGGAGTCTGTCTGTCTAGATAGATCTCTTCGTGGGTAAGAGATATGCCAAGTCCTAGCCTAAGCATCTGCTTGCCCCAGTGGGCAGACTGAGCCACAGAGCAAATACAGGTATTTATTGAGCCCCATTATGAGTACAAGGCATTTTTGCAGAAATTTAAGATGTAATCTGATGCCCCACCCCCACAGTTACAGACTTCTGTGCTTCGTTCAGACTCTCTCTCCCTATTAGAGGCCAAAAGAAGAATAAAAACTGTTCCTTAACCTGTTTTGGCAAAAGAAATTTTTAAAATTCATGTGCCCATCGTATCAGTGTTCTATTGCGAGAATAATGTTGTGTCACCAACCACCACGAAACTTCAGTGGCAGACAACAATGAACAGTTACATGGCTCTTGACCCTTGGAGTTCAGCTCATCAGGGCTGGATTCGGGTGATTTCTGCTGGGCTTGCTCATGTGTCTGTGTCAGCTGTGGATTGGCCAGGCAGCTGCAATAATCTTGGGATCCTTGGCTGTTGGCTAACCTAGGCTGGCCTCAGCTGGAATGACTGGGCTGTTCAGTTCTGGTTCACGTGACTCATCCTCCAGAGGATAGCCTGGGTCTGTTCACAGGACAGTGGCAGAGGAGCAGGAGATCAAGCCCCAGGGTGCACTTCCATTTCAAGCCTCTGCTTGTATTGTGTTTCTTAGACTCCCACTGGTCAAAGCAAGTCATGTGACTGAGCCCAAAGTTTCCTGGCAAAAGGCCTGGCTAAGGGAGGGCCACTCAGTCAGTCTACCACAGCAGAAAGTTGCTCTATGAAACTCCTGATTCAGAGACACTTCAGCACAGGCATTGGCAAGCTTTTTCTGTGAAGGGCCAGATAGTAAATCTGTTAGATTTTGAGGGCCAATGTCTCTGTTGAAACTACTCATCTGACATTGTAGCGTAAACCAAATGAACACAGCTGTGTTCCAAAATATTTTTTTTAGGGGGCTGGCCCCATGGGGTAGTGGTTAAGTGCACGGGCTCCGCTGCTGGCGGCCCAGGTTTGGATCCCGGGCACGCACCAATGCACCGCTCGTCAGGCCATGCTGTGACAGCGTCCCACATAAAGTGGAGGAAGATCGGTTTGGATGTTAGCTCAGGGCCAGTCTTCCTCAGCAAAAAGGGGAGGATTGGCGTGGGATGTTAGCTTAGGGCTGATCTTCCTCACAAAAATAAGTAAATAAATAAATAAAAACTGGGAGAACAGAAAAAAAAAATGATTCAAAATATTTTTCTTTTAATTTTTTTTCAATCATGTAAAAAGGTAAATTTATTCTTAGCTTGAGGGCTGTACAAAAACAGACTAGATTTGCCCCCTGGCCATTGTATGCTGACCCCTGGTTTAGAAACCTAGGATAAGGTTCTGGGGAAAGAGAGACTATAGGTTATCAGCTGTGCTGTCAAGATTTTAACAAATAATGCAAAGAAAGTAAAATGTATAAGGCCCCATATCCTATAATCAGAACAAGTGATCTAAAAAGTCCTAATGACTATATGTACTATACCTTCATCTGTAAAAAAATGACAGTAGCCTATTTCGAATCTTTTCGTAAAAACTCTTACAGGAATATTGTAATCCCCTTTGCTCGTTACAGTCTCTGAAAGATAGGCAATTTTCTGTGCCCCAAAATGAATCAGGGCTAGATTGTTCTCTGTAGTCTTTGCAGCTAGTGAGTACGACCAAATGCCTATTTCCTTACTCACAATATTTATGGCACTTTATGGCCCAATGAGTCTCTGGGATGTGTATGTGTGTTTATATATATATGTGTTTATTTTCCTTAACAGTTAATACATTCACATGGTACAAAATTCAAGTTATAAAAAGGTTTATGCAGTTAATCTTCCCACTGCTATATCTCAGCCACTGACTTCCTTCTCCCTTCCCTCCTTGACAATCTGCATTTACTTATATACTTCTTTTGTTTTTTTGTGTGTGTGAGGAAGATCAGCCTTGAGCTAACATTCATGCTAATCCTCCTCGTTTTTGCTGAGGAAGACCAGCTCTGAGCTAACATCTATTGCCAGTCCTCCTCCTTTTTTTCCCCAAAGCCCCAGTAGGTAGTTGTATGTCATAGTTGCACATCCTTCTAGTTGCTGTATGTGGGACGTGGCCTCAGCATGGCCAGAGAAGCGGTGTGTCAGTGCGTGCCCGGGATCCGAACCCGGGCCGCCAGTAGCGGAGCACGCGCACTTAACCACTAAGCCACAGGGCCGGCCCATAATACATTTTCTTCTCAAGATATTTACCAAATTCTGAAGCTTTGTAGAGCCAGAGCTATAAAAAGCTAAGCCTCAAAAACTTCTGAAAAGCAGAATAGAATTTTTGGCAGGCTTATGGTGCTGATGATTAGCATTCAGGACCCACCAGGCGGAAGGGACTGGTGAACACACAGGGCTTTCAGTGAAAGCTCAGGAGGGCTCCCTACTAGGAGCAAGATGAAACAGGTAGACTGGGGTTTATCAAAATTGCAGTGCAGCCTCAAACCATATAGTCCCTGAGTGGATTAAGGTGATCAGCCCCCATCCTGTCTGCTTAGCAGAGGAAAGAGTGGAAGAAAAATACATCTAGAGACACTGTAATTTTTTATACACAATTTCTAGCTTTAATAAAAATTACTAGCAAGTCAAGAGATAGGACCATATTATTTAAAATCAGGGTAAAGGGCCGGCCCCGTGGCTTAACGGTTAGGTGCTCGCACTCTGCTACTGGCGGCCCAGGTTCAGATCCCAGGTGTGCACCGACGCACCGCTTCTCCAGCCATGCTGAGGCCGCGTCCCACATACAGCAACTAGAAGGATGTGCAACTATGACGTACAACTATCTATTGGGGCTTTGGGGGATAAAAAGGAGGAAGATTGGCAATAGATGTTAGCTCAGAGCTGGTCTTCCTCAGCAAAAAGAGGAGGATTAGCATGGATGTTAGCTCAGGGCTGATCTTCCTCACAAAAACGTTAAAAAAAATTAAATTAAATAAAAAAATCAGGGTGAAAATAGAAACAGGTGATTCAAATATTGCAGAAAGCAGACAAGGAGTTTAAACTCTGATATGCTCAAGAAATAGAAGGAGATATGGAGGAAATAGGTAAAATATTTAAAGTATACTTAGCAACTTCTAATAATGGCTGAGTAGATCCTATGGGAATGACCCCTCCACAAATAACAACTGTAAAATCTGGACATAATACAAAAAACAGCTACTTGAAGACACTGGAGAATGAAGGGAAGCAGAAAGTTTGATGGGGAGTCCACACTGCAAAGAGAATTAAGCAGAGAAATTTCCCTATCTTTGCTGCTTATAACTTGGTAGCAAGCAAAGTGGTATGTATGATATGCTGGTGGAAAATCCTAGTACGAGAGTACTGAGCCAAGGCAACCAAAGCCACTGGAGAGAAAGATGGGAATCTCAGAAGGGAAAGAGCCGGAGAGGGAGGAATCCCCAAATTCTGTCTGCCCACATCTCTGTCCAAGCTCTGGACCACACACATGCAATTCAGACTCAAAGCAGCTCAGCTAAAGACAAGATCTAAACTGAGATTGGAGCTGCCACCCAATAAGTGTGGTTTGCAGCGTGTATCCAACCAAGCTAATTGCCTGATAAAAGAACCGTCACTCTTTGGAGACAAATAATAGAAACCAGAGTCTCCACAATTTAACATTCAAAACTGATGCCACACTGAGATGATCTGGATATTGGAATTAACAGACAAAGATATTAAAGCAGCAATGAAAATATGTTCTCACTGAATAAACAGTTAGGCAACCTCAGCATAGAAACAAATGATTTTTGGAAAACACAAATCTCCAAAATAAAATTACAGTAACTGACAATTTTTAAATTAAATGATGGATTTAACAGCAAAAGAGGAGATAACAGTGAGTCAATGAACTAGAAGATAGACCAATAGAAATTACCCAAACTGAAGAACAGAGGGAAAAAAAGAATAAAAAAAAAAGTTTCATGGACTAGTTAGTTAGATAATATCCAACAGTCTAACATATATGTAATTGGAGCCCTAGAAGGCAAAGAGAAGGAATAGAGCAGAAAAAAATAAATAATAGCCAAAAATTTCCCAAATTTGATCAAAGACAGAAATTTACAGATTTAAGGTACTCCACAAACTCACCTTGATAAACACAGAAAGGCCACACCTAGGCACATCATAGTAAAATGATTGAAAGCTGAAGATGAAGAACAAATCTTGAAAACAGCAAGAGAAAAACAACACATCACATACAGAGGAACAACAGTTAACAGCTGACCTCTCACCAAAAATCAGAGGCCAGAAGAGAGTGTAACAACATTTCTAAAATGCTGAAAGAAAAAGATCAACTCAGAATTCTATATTCACCAAAAATATACTTCAAGAATGAAGTTGAAATAAAGACATTTTCAGATAAAAGAAAACTAAGAGAATTAGTTGCCAACAATCCTGCACTATAAGAAATGCTAAAGGAGTTCTTTGGCTTGAAGGGAAATGGTAACAGATGGAAACTCAGATCCTCAGAAAGGAATGGAGCACATCAGAAATAGTATCTGG